GGCTGAGCGAGGTAGGTGAGAGAGAGAGACCTAAGTAGGTGACTTGCTGGCTTGACAACTGAGCCTTGTCAGGAAAGACTCGGTGCCCTTTTTGGACAAGGAAGCTAAGGAGATCTGCAGTATGTTGTCTGGAATCTTGTAGAGTGGGGCTGCAGAGAAGGAGGTCATCTATGTATTGGAGGACCTTGCTGGAACCTAGGTCACAGGAGGCTAAGTCCCAAGCTAAAGCCTGACCAAATAAACGGGAGCTATCTCTAAACCCTTGCAGCAAGACTGTCCACGTCAGCTGTGGTGACAGAGCAGTGTCAGGGTCTGTCCATGTGAAGGCAAAAAGAAACTGGGACTCTGGGTGTAGTGGGATAGTGAAGAAGGCGTCTTATAATTGGAGAACATCCCATCCTAGAAGCGAAATAGGGCAGGAGGGTATGACAAGGAATGAATGGGAAAAGGGAAAGCCGTCCAGACTGCTGCTAAGCAGGGGGGTTCACCACAGGTGAGATGGGGTCCCATCAATCCCCATGACCGAGATCTGGGAAGGAGTAAGAGGTCCTGAAAAAGATGGTAAAACAGAGTAGGTAGCCCCCATGTCCACTAGGAAAGAGATGGACTTACTGGCTACATGTAGCGTTACCCTGGGCTCGACGAGGGTGATGGGGGTCTTCGAGTCAGGGTTGCTTCAATCACCTAGGAGTCTGAGAAGTTCCAGCGCAGCCAGGGAAGAGTCCACACCTTGATCCGCTGGTCCCCCGCGTGGAGGCACCGGGGACGAGCCTCTAAGGGGACAGGCATCCCTCCAGTTGCCAAGCTGTCGGTAATCTGGGCAATGCTTTGTTGGTGGTTGAGGTTGAGGACACTGGTGGGCCCAGTGCCCTTCTTTGCCACACCTAAAATAGGCCCCCAGTGGGGTGTTCTTTGACCCAGACTTAGGCTTCACCCCCATGCTGGCCGCAGGGCCGCTAGGATAGTCTGGGTCTGCAGGGCTACCTTTTGCTGCAGGTGAGCCTGGTGGGCAGCCTCAGCCTCTGCTTCCTGGTTACTGAAAACCTTAAATGCCATATTTACCAGATCTTGGATGGGGGTTTGGGGGCCATCCTCAGGCTTTTTCAGTTTCTTTCTAATATCTGGGGCTGACTGGGAGATAAAGTGAGTAGCTAAGACAGTGGCCCCAGCGTTAGAAGCTGGGTCAAGGCAGGTTTGGAGCACCATTGCCTTTGTTAGTCTGTTGAGAAACAGCACCGGATTTTCTAAAGGTCCCTGGTTTGATCCCAGGTTTTGGCACTAAATGAAAGGTTTTCTTAGGTTCTGTCGAGGAAGAAATGCCAATCAGCCACAAAGTTAGGCAGTCTAGAGCTTTATTGGGGTTTGAGCACTCAGGTGAGCTTCTCCAGTTCATTAAGTAGGGGCCAGAGAAGCCGTGCCCAAGCAGGGAATGTGGCCGGGTTTTACTTCTGTTGGCTCTCTTCCTGGGAGCTGGGGATTGGTCCCCTCTGAGCAAAGTGGCAATATATCATTGGTGGTTCTCCTCAGGCTCAGGTTACTTTTCGGATATCCGTTTTGGCCAAGCCCGTGGCTTTGGCTCCCTGGTTTGACGTCAGCCGTCTTTTCCCGCTTATAGATCACCCGCCATTTTGTCCCACCCCGCCCATCCTGACACTCCCCACAGAAGCTGAAAAGGCGGGCCTCAGATAGGCCTTGGGGGAGTATCCCCAGACTCGCCCTGTCCTGACACTGAAAATAAGGCCCTCACTCTGGACACCCTGATTCCAGGACCTGAGCCCACAGGGGCACCCTCCCCAGGCTGGGAGCCTCTCTGCCTTTCTCACCCTTCTCCAGCCTGCAGTTTTGCAACCCTGTTCCCGACTTCCTGCCTCTTTGAAGCCTCCTCCCACCACTCCTTCCAGCCTTCACCTCCCCTAGCAGTCCCCACTCCCTCCAGTTCCTTCCAGCATCTAGACTGCAGGTCCCCCAGTGGCAGCCAGTCTCCCCCTCACCCCCGGGTCTCCCTCCCACCCCTGTATCAGGGCCCCAGGGACTCTGCCCCTGAGGACACCCTGTGCTCAAAGGCAGGCCATTGAGCCTCTGGTGGTTCCTACCCCCACCTCTCCCTGGCTCCCTGTTCAGAAACAGGTTTTTACTTTCTTTTTCCTTCACCTGCCCCGCCCTTGCACTCTGTTTTTCTTTTAACACTTTCTGGTGTCTTCCTCCCACTCCTGCCCTCTGTTGCAGTGTCTACTCCAGCACAGAATGTCAAAATCAAGTGCAAAGTCCCAGCATAAGGACACTCCTCTGAGTCCACAAGTGTCTTCTTTCCACCAAAAGCCACCCTGCCCGTGCAGACCCCAGCCATGCCTGGAAGAACAGCTTTCTCTTCCTCTTCCTCTCCTGCCTGGTCTTCCTGCTGCAGGCACGCTTTTCTCTACCGCTGGACGCTCCTATCCCAACCCCATTTCCTGCCTGGCTCCCTCAGGCTCTCCTTAACACTGGTTGTCTTCCCCAGTCCTCTCAGTGCCCTGCACCCTCCACTCTCCACTGGGAGGGACTCAGGCCTCAGCCTCATTCCTTCCCACACCTGCTCCTTCCCTCCCAGCCCTTCTCCCTTTGCCACCCCTCCCAGGACACAGGGCTAGATCCCCAGGTTGCAAAGTCTTGTGGAAAATTAAGCCAGTAAAAATTTCTCAGCAGAGTTGGCTCTTTTCGTGAGTATAGAAAAGCAGGTGTCCACAGTGAACTGCTGGGGTTCACTCTCACCTTCACAGGATCTGCTGTGGGACAGGACCCTGGTCTGGATGTGGGAGCACAGGAGGCTGAGGGAGACCACAGCTGGGGGTGGGGCTCGGCTGCCTCAGTGAAGAAGCTCCAAGTGCCCTGAGCACAGAGTGGTGAGACTTGTAAATTTCTCCTGGGACCTTTCTGCTGGCAAAGAGCTCTGGCCTCTGCCACAGACACTCAGGGACCTCCAGGTGCCACCTGGACCCCACTTCCCTCACTCACTGTTCCACTGGGAGGTTCAAAGCTCAGCAAGAAAATGGAGCTGCTGGCAATGCCCACCCATGGCGACAGGCCAGGGTGGCAAGGAGCAGATGGAGGAGAGGACAGGCCCCCAGCAAGGACCCCAGCACAGTGCAGGCTTGGTGGGTCTCCCAGAGGAGACTGGGGAACTGTGACCCCCCAAGGAAACACCCCAGGGAAGGGGTGGGACGCTGCTCTCACCCCTGCCAGGCCCCTTCTCCCCAGAACCTGCATGTGCACATGGGACCCAGCAGCTCCGAAACTCTGGGGGGTCTGGGGAGCACAGAGATCCCCCGACACCCTCCTGACTGGATCTCCTCCTCAGACCCCACACTTCAGTGAGCCCTGTCAGTCCCTGACCTGGCTCTTGAGACAGGATCTTTTCTCCTCAGAGCCCAAGCCACTGGGAGCTACTCTCTGTGCACTTAGGCAACTGTCGGGCTTGGCACTTCAGGGCACTGGATTGGGTGGGGGACAGGTGTCACAGGCACAGGCTGCAAGCTCATCCCCACAATCCCATCCAGGTAGGGTGTCTCCCTCAGGTGGACAGAGCCCTGGTATCTGGAAATGCTCTCACAGTAAAAACAACATGCCTGTGCTGTCCTGTTTCGAGTTTCAAACTGTTATTGATTGTATTATATTGTGGCTTAGAAACCTGTAAAGATTTCCTAATCTGCATGAGTCCTAGGGTCCTGGTCCCAGGGCCTTTGAAACATTGTCGACCTCGAAACCGATGTCTTCCTGTTGGTGTGAAATGGAGGTTCTCATTGCGTTCTGGAGAATGCTTTTGGAAGAAATTCTACTTCTTGGGTGTTCCTGGTTGCAAGGATAAGGGTCTGTGTTATTTTAAATTCTCCTAAGGAAAAATATCACCCTAACTGAGGTCTAGGAATTGAAGTAACATTTTTGTGTGTACAGCTAGGGTCCCTGTGGTTTCAATTCTCTAATGTGCCTCCTGGAGCAAAGGGGACACAGGCAGGAACCTTCAGCACTGCGCACGTGACAGGAAATGGGCATGGAAAGACTGTCACAATCCAATCCACAGAGCTGCTTCCAATTCTGCCCCTCATCCCAACAACACCTGTACAACAGAAAACACAAGGAAGGAAACCACCTCTAAGGCAGGAGAGACCTTGCAGGCTCAAGGGGGGGGGGCATGGAGTGGGGGGAGAAGGCGAGGAGACAGAGAGATTTCCTCCTCCCTCTTCCCTCAGCGTCTCTGGACCATGTCCAGGAGGAAGCCCTGCTTTGAGGTGCCTGGTCTCTGAAGCTAGAGTTTTTGTTCCTGACTCTGACCTTTCCCAAGAACTTCCAGCTCAGCTTTTGTCGAAGGTGGTTCGTTTTGCCTTTGCCTGTAGTTCCTCAAGAATGGGTGTCCTTCGTGTATTTTGGGCAGGATGGCCCCAGAAATGATGCTGTGTTCTCTCTGTGACATCAAGAGACACGCGACATGTATCACTTTCTTTCTCATATGACTGTGGCAGAATCTGCCAGGTCTGAGCCCCACACTTGCAATTCCCCCCTATTTCGTCCCAATGACTTAACTGTAAGGAGGCGTGGCTATGCACTGTGTGTTTTGTGGGTGGGGTGGAAGCGGGAGTGGGGGGTAGAGACAGTGCTGTGTGAATATCCTCTTGCTCCTCAGACTATCAGCCTCTAGGGTAGAAGCCAGGGATCTTCTCAGGGAACTCTGAGTCCTGTGATGGCTGTCAGAAGGACAGCCCATAATCACGTCCTTTCTCTCATCCTTACCAGTTGGTATCTCTGGCACACTCTTCAGTCTGTCTGTCTGCCCATGTCTGTCCTGTCCAGGCTGGTTGGTGGACAAAGCAGATACCCAGTCTTGTGGAGGTATGTGGACTGCTCTGTTCCCACTGCTCTGCACGTTTTTGCACCCCGCCAGGCAGCCCTGAGGGTGACAAAGGAGGAACAGGTCCCCAGCCCCCCTGGGGAAGGGTACTTGGGGTTGTGCCAGCTGACTTCCCCTTCCTTCTAGAAAACCTTTAAAAAACTGTTGTGTGTCAAGTGCCTGGCCTGCACAGCTATTTCTTTTATGGAGAGATAAACCCACTCTGTTCTGCTCCGGGCTTGATTGAAACCCTCCTCCCTGCTGGTCTGACTCTCACACACCAAGCCAGGATTTCTGCTGCCCTAGCACTTCCCTGTGTCAGGTCCCGGGCCACTGGAGGTCAGTCCTCCAGCTCCACTCCCATCTTCCAGGGTTGGCCTGGTGGGACAGGAATGATCAAGACAGTTTTTGCTTTCCTGCCCTGGAGCTTTCCCGCCCTGGAGCCTTCCTGCAAACCAGGAAATAATATGAGAACACCTCTGACTCCGCCCTTAAACGGTTCAAGTCTGGCCACGCAGCCACCAAATCTGCCATTTCTCCTGGGTCCCCAGAGGCTGTGCAGTGCCTTTCCTTTGCAGCGAAAGGTAAGTAGCAGCATCGTTTCTTTCCTAATTTATTTGTGTCTTTTTAACCAGTATTGGCCTCTCTCTGTTGCTATACGATCACCTCTCTAAATTAAGACCAGTCAGAGGGGAACAAATATTAATTATGATATCCAAGGAAAGCGTCCTATCATTGCCAAGAACTATCGCAGGGTACTTTATTATGGAATTCCTGCCGACATTTCTGATGGAAAAGTTGATCAAAATTTTGCCAGAGAAATTAGTAACGTATCTGGAGGACGCCTCAATGATGACATATTTAAAACAGATAGGTACGAATATGATAAGTCATGCTCTTATGTTTCTGATGAGAACGCTTTCGGCTACTTTGGAGAAACACTCCATCGTTAACACTGTGAAAAAAAAAATCACAAGTTTCTTTAAGAGGAAGCAGCATTGTGAGCCAATGGATGCATATATGGTTTAACAAAATGAAATACATATAACCTGTAACTAATAACCTGTAAAAAGGTATTAGTAACTTATGCAACTTAGTGTAACTTCAGGTGAATATTGTCCTACACTGAAATTTTCCACCATTATTGGAAAATTTCTTGAACGAAGTTCTGCTTACATACCATCCGATACAGTTGATGGAGAAAGCAATAACATGAAACGTGAATTATACGTTTATTAAACGTTAAATAAGGCTGTCAGTAGCCTGTTTCTGTTCAGAGGTCTTCTGTGCTATTGCTTTAACAAATGCCTGGGCTTTGTGCCCTGGGCCCTAAAGGGCAGCCTGGGTGGCAGGAACTGGAGGAGGTGGGGAGGGAACATCTCTCGGGGGGGTGAAGAGCTCCCTGCCCAGGCACTGGAGGCTGGCTCGGGGTGAGGGAAGGGGTCTGAGTGGAGAGGGGCAGGGCAGGTCCGAAGGCTGAAGTGGGCAAGGCCAGGGCCCTGGGTGGCTCTCCTGACCAACTGAGTTCAGTAGAATGTCCCGTGGTGAAGGTTGGGGGGCTGAGTCCACACTGCAGGTGGTTCCAGGGGACAATCTGGGACCTGAGGGAACGACCTGCAAGGGGACCAGAGTACAATCCAGGGCCTAGAAAAGGCCTAGGGCACGGGAAAAGCTCGCAAAGCCTTTGTGAAGGCATCTTTTTGGCCCCTGACACCCAGGAAGGCTGGACCCGCCCCTTTTTAAAGAAACAGGGGCCCCTGCTGAGGTGCTTGAAAGAGGCAGCAACTACAGGCTCTTGGCAGAGAAAAGGCCTGAACCCTAGATTGACCTCAGAGGTTCTTTTTCTTTCTTTTTGGTTTTTGTTATTGATTTAATTTCAACAAAAGCAGAAGGGAGGGACAAGGAGGAAGAGAAGCAGGGACATGGCCCTCTAGGCAGGCATGTGCTCAGACTGGGCACTGAATCTGGGACCATTCAGTTTGAGAGACCCGGCCCACAGCCCTCCCCGCCTGCCCAGCCACACCAGCCACACCAGTGGGGGCTGATCTGCACAGGTTCTCTGAGTGCACAACAGACCAGCCCCAGCTGATAAAGTGGGCCATGAGCCCCTGTGGGAAAATAGTGCCATCAGGGACGTGGTTGGAGCACAAGTGAAGAGCAGGTGTCACTGCTGAGGTCCTGGGTGGAAGATGCAAGGAAAGAGCCAAAGGGCTGTGAAATGTGCAGAGGACCCTGCCCAGCTCACTGCAGGCATCTGAGTCCTGGGCCCCCGGCCCTCACCACTTCCCTCACTCCCCTGGCTCAGCAGCATCCAAGGACACCCTGCCTCTCTGGCCTCCCACCAGGCGCCCCAATGCCCCCCTGCAAGCAGGCTGCCCTCAGCCCCCACCCCGTGCCGTCCTCCTGCCTGCTCCCTGCCAGTGGCAGCCTGTGCATCAGAGGACTTGGGGTGTTGGGGAGGCGACATTTTGTGCTTCTGGGCCACTTCCTTCAGAAGCTGAAATGGCAGCACTCAGACCAGCCTTGTGGGGAAGTATCTCCAGACTGGCCCTGGCCTGACACTGAAAAACCTGGCCCTCAATCTGGAAGCCAGGATACAGGGACTGTAGCCCAAAGTCACCTGCCCTCCCCAGGACAGGAGCCCCTCTACCTTTCCCACTCTCCCCCAGCCTGCAATTTTGCAACCCTCTTCTGATCTCAAAGAGCTCTCTCCCAGACTTCCTCCCTCTGTTGGAGTCACCTCCTGCCCCCTATCCAGCCTTCTACTTTCCCAGCGCTCCCCACTCCCTCTACTTCCATGTGATGGGGACTCAAGAGCTGGAAAATTTTAGTTGAAGGTAAATAGATATAAGCCTAGTAAGTAATGCATTTGTTAAAGCTATCGTTTCAGAAACTACAGAAAAGACCCATCCTGACTCCTGAGAGATACAGTAGACTTCCTAGGGCACTGTTGAAGACAGCAGCCCACAGTGAGAATGCTGCAGTATTTTTTAAATTCTATGTTCTCCTTAATGAAAGGGACATTTCAAAATTGGATTTAAGACGGTCCTTTAGGGTGCGAAGCCGCAATCTTGTCAGATCGCGGCCATCTTGTCAGATCTCGGCCATCTGAGTAAAGTGCCATAAAGATTAATCTCTGTACTTACTGGGTTAGGTAGTGACAGGCAGCAGGAGCTCAGGTGTCTTTTCCGGTTTCATATTTTAGCGACTCTGTTCTGGGACAGGCTTTGGGACTCTCCAGTAAGTCTGGGTATTTGGTGAGGAGTCCCATTGGCTGCCTGGGCTGAGAGGCCCCAGGGGTTTGGATTTGGAGATTCCCAAGCAGCTGCCAAGTGACTGTACTTGGGGATCTCCCCCCTGATTCTGGGTATTTCTCATTGTTTATCATGTTTGCTTGAATTATTTTGCGTTGTTCAAGTTAAAATACCGGGTCACGACTTAGGTCGTCTGGTAACGGTACCTTTCTGGGTTACAGAGCTTGGTCTGAAAAATGGGGTCTGCTCTGGTTTGGGTACCTTCTGTCTGAAGGAGCTCTGTCCCTCTGGTAGAATGGAGGGAAGCCTCCATTCCAGGAAATAGCCCATTAGGGTGAGTTCTGGCTAATTCAGGTGCTTGAAATTAAGTATCTGAATTAGCCAGATATAAACGTATATCTAGAGCGAATGTTATTGTTATCGTAAAATAACAATTGTTATTTTACAATTGTTACGGTAACAATTGTACATACATAACATATTGTATGTATGTTCAATACATACAATACAGCTTATGTATTGTATAATCTACACTCAGGAGAGTGCTGGTCACTGAATGGGTCTTTAAATTACTGTGTTATACTGTAACTAGAGTCCTGTTGTCGAAAATCAGGGGAGGACAAACCCCTACCGGGGCAGGACAATATCCTCTGCAGAGACTTGCACCACTGGGAGTAGGGCCAGAGGGCCAGCCTGTTGGATATTATTGGGCACATACACCACTTGTACATCGGATCTGTTAAACTGCGAAAGCTCAAACCCTTCTCATAGAGATGAATCTGCTGAAATGACTGATTTGACTGCATCAGTTTTTGCCACTTATCATCTCAATTGGGCAGATATACCGGCATTATTGAATTCTTTCCTTCAATAAGGGGGATAAGCGGAGGCTAGTGTTGGATAAGGCAAATGAATGAGGCTGGGTGGTTACACCAAGAAAACCCAGATGGGGCTCTGGGCCCTCCCAGAGCAATACCTGTAACTGAGCCCAATTGGGACCCTAATGGGGAAGGCCTTTCTCTCTTAGATTATTATAAGAGATGCCTCCTTAAGGAATGAGGAAAAGCATCAAAGTCTGAGTAAGGTGCAGGTGGTGCAACAAAAGTCCACAGAGGACCCCTCCCAACAGCAGGAAACAGTTAAGGAGATTCCAGGGGATGGCAAGCTCTAACAGAGTGCAGCCAGGGGTTCCTCCAGTAGTGGTTTGTAATGGGGTCCAGAACTCAGGGTATCCAGGAAATATTAAAAAACATATAGGATGTCCTCATCTCCACGAGTCTGAGCTGGGGGATGGGGCACATGGAGCACAGATATTGAAAATAGTTCTTCATAGCAACAGTTTTGCAACTGACCTCAGGCATGGTCAGTTAACATATCTATAACTTTTAAGTGGTTTCATGGGTATGTTAAATACCTGTGGCCATGCTTAGAAACAGGGAGATGGGAGTGATTTTAATCTAAGACAAGTCTTGGAGGCAGCTCCCCCTGCTTACATAACATCTGTGAGAGCTTGGAGATGATTGGCTCCATGCTAGGGGGCCACACCTCCCTGAACTTACTATAGCAGCCCTGAAAAGCTGGCAAAATGTGGAATGCTGGCAGGTGTAGCTGATTGTGACAGGAATGGGGAAAGAGGCTGCATATGAAGGTCAGCCCTGGGATTTTAAACCCAGGCACAATAGCCATGCTAGGTTAGAAGCAGGCAGCTTTGGGTGCCACCTTTTGCCACGTGGCTTAGGAAGCAGGAGAGACTTTGCAGCAAAGAAAAGGGGTGAAAGGACTCTTGATGGTGCCATAAGAAAGGGCCACATGGTTTTGGATCAACTGGAGATTGTGGCAGCAACACAGCTGATGGCGCTGGGGACCCAGGGAGGCGGGCCAGCCAATCTGGGATTACTGGGAAGAATCAGGGGGTTGCCTGAGCAAAGGACTTCTATTTCTTTTCCTGAGATACAGCACCTCAGACTTTACCTGAGATGCAAAGGGGGGAAGAAATGACTGCATGCATTTGTGGGTATTCTAAGGAATTTTGGGACTTCAATGAAGACATTAAGTCATTACTCTTAAGTCTGTATAACTTTGGAATAAATAATTCCTTTTCTTTTCACCAATCTCTTGCATTGAGAGCTATAATTCCCTGGTGGCAGACAAGGCAAACCTAATGCAGGGGGACACCTGGAGAAGGGGAGGTGCATTCAGTAACAGTATATTGTGCCCCCCTCCATGGGTCCTTCTGTAACAGCTTTTGGAGACTGCAAAGGTAACCTAATTGGCTGTGACAGACTGACCCTCTGAGGTGTAGGAGAATGAGACTTCAGGATTTTTCCAGACTCTGGGAATTTTCTGCACTCCTCCGAAAGCATTGGCCGCCTATTCACATCTGGAAAGGTGAAAAGGAAACAGCATAGGGAAGGGAGCAGAGAAGTGAAATTGTTTTGGTTGAAGATACAATCTTGGAATAATGGAGTTGGAATTGTGGATAACAGCTGGGGACATACATGACTTATACGCATCTGTATTTTTTCTTGGCTATGAGTTTTTGTGTTCTCTGCTGGGACAGTATAAGTAGTTCTGAGCTGGTCCCTGAGTGGAGCCAACTTGGTGGAATTCTGGGGGATTGGGAGACTTAACTGGTCTAAGTCAACATATAAGAATCCCTTGTGTAGGGGACAGTGACCAGAGGGGAGAGGGAAGGGAAGTTAAGGGGAAAAAGAAGGAGGGATTTGGAGGAACAAATAGGAAGGACACAGGGACGAGAACTAAGGGGGTGGAAATGGGAGGGAGGTGGGGAGCAAGGGGCAGGGGAGGCTGGGATGGGAGAAATAGACAAAAAAAACTGTACTTGAAAAGTAACTAAATAAAATTTATTAAAAAATTAAAATAAAAAATAAATAAAAAAAGAAAAATAAAATTAGAACATTATTTGGTTAATGTTCAATGTAATTTAGGTTATGGTTCTTAAAATAATTTAATGGATTAAAGATTTAACTATTACACTATTAAATAAAAATGTCCTTAAAAAAAAGAATCCCTTGTGTAAGCAGTTATTGTAACACAGTGTGGCCCACTTATATTTTTGAGTGCTGAGAAGAGGTGGCCTGTGAATGGTTCCTGCAGTTACCGCACCATTACGGGATTGAATCAGCATTGCCGACGGTGAGAACTCTAGGAAGAACTCCAGTATCTTAATCCATCTATAATGTTGCACAATAACCTTTTGCCAGAGACAGAGAAGGGAGTGATGGCACAGAAGGAAAAGGTGGTCTCAAAACTCCTCCCTGAGAGTAGAACACAGGAGGAGATGGATAATGAGGAGATGAACCTCATTAATGCCCTGAACCCAGGGAATAGACCCTCCCAAGTGTGCAGGGTCTCTATGGCCCCACCATCCCTGCTAGCCCAAGGATTGTGAAGGAGAAGGGTAAGAAGGAATAAAGGAAAAAGATAAATACACGTTCATGTATAACCTGGGGAGAAAAGACAATAGAGTGAATAACTTAAGAAGCAAAGGAGAAGTAGAAAATCAGAGGAATGATAAGCATCTAAGTCTTTGAAACACTGCAAATTCCAGACCTAGGAACTACCAGGTCCTGAGAACAACTGGGTAATTAACTTGCTGCTCAAACTCACTGCAGCTTGCAGAAACAGCAGGGGGCCTGTCTTTCCAAGCAGACACTAACTCAGGTGTTCTCCAGGCTACTGCCCTCCTTGGGGAATCATCAAAGAATGTTAGAGCTCATTGGCTCATGGCCTTCAGCCACTTAGGCCATCCACAAGAAATCAAGACTGATGATGGTTGAGGATACATTGCATAAACCACTTGGGCTTTTTTTTATAAAAATGGGGAATTTGGCATAAAACAGGTATCCCTTATAACTCTATGGGCCAAGCAATTGTTGAAAGAGCTCAGCAGACCTTTAAGACATTATTAAATAAACATAAAAGGGGGAGTAAGGAAACAACCCCCAGGAATTTAAACATGCTGGCAATATATACAATTTTTAGAATTGGGATGATAATGTAAAGCCACCCACAGACAAACCCTTTGTGCAAAACAGTCCTGCAGGCACACATCCTTTGGTCTCATAGAGAGACCCTTTAGGGGAAGGAAAATGGGAAGGTTCAGTTGAACTATTAACTTGGGGAAGAGGGTATGCTTGTGTTTCCTCTCCAGAAAAACCTTTGGAGCTGCCGGCAAAAAGGGTGAAGCCAAGATCATAGAAAAGGCTACCCAGCCCTCAACCCACCTCTGCTCTTTGGGACTCCCCCAATCCAGACTTCTGTAAGCTGTGTGTCACCCCCATGAGGTGCAGTTCCAAGCAACATTCCTGGGCGGACATTCCTCATCACTTGCAGGGCATGTTCTCTACCAATCTCAAAGGACAAATTGATCAGCTCCAGCTTGAGTTCTACCAGCTGCTCAGTAACATCAAACACCTGACTGAACAGAAAGTGATCCAGACCTTCCATGATGATCTACAATGGATTGTTCCTAAGAACTTGTTCAATGGACTGAATTTATGGGTTTGGGTCATGGCAGCCCTTGGGTGCCTCCTTGTCTTTCTCCTTATTTGTGTTTTACCATGTATATGAAGATTTTGTTCTGGAGATTGCTTTTGGAAACAGCAAATAGTAGGTTTCACAGGCTTAACAACTACAATTGTGCTCATAAACCAAAAAGGGGGAGATGTTGGGAACCACCCTGCCTGGTTTCAGAAGCTGTACCCTCCCATGGCTAAGGCTAAGTAAAAAGAACTTGGGACCACAAGCCATTATGGAGACAAAGCTTATCCTCCTGTCAGGGGAAGATCCTCTGCCCCCTTTATTTCACCCTGCTTGGCCCGGGCGGATGACTGGTTAGCCAATGACGGGTAAGACTCCTCAGAGGAGGGGCAACCTAAGACAGGCACAGTCGCAAAGGGCCATCAAGGGAAGGACATCAGATGACTGGTTAGCCAATGACGGGTAAGACTCCTCAGAGGAGGGGCAACCTAAGACAGGCACAGTCGCAAAGGGGCCCTAAGGGAAGGGCTCAGGGGGCTATACAAAATGGTGGTCATGGACCCTTGCTTCTTGGCTTTGACATAGCCTGAGTCCTCATTCTGTCTGCAAGAAGTCTCCTGATCTCTTGGCTGCCAACATCCCTCACCTGATTTTAAGCCTGAAACAATGTCAGAGGGAGGTGTGGCCCTGTACTAGAATGGGCGGTTCCCTGGGGCAACCAGGCCTGAGAAACAATGCAAAAAATCTTGTGAAACCTGCTTTGCTAAGATTATACTCAATTTAAATGGTAAGGGTCCAAGCATAAAATGAGCTTGTTTCCCAAAGTTTTTTGGCCATTTGGCTATCTGACCCTGTCTCAGAATAAGCCTTCATAGTGCTTTGAATGTTACCATTTTTTGGATCATTACTGCCTGACAAGGATTGATGAGCTTTACATATATGTCCTGTATTCCTATGCAAATTAAACCCAATAAAAGTCCATTGAGCAACAGACTCAAGGACCTTCTCTGTTGGGAGCTGTCCTGCCTGGTTTCAAGAACTATAGCCTCATTAACAGACAGAAATGTCCCATGGCTAGGGCTGAGTGTAAAGGCCTTGGGGCCATGAGCCACTGAGGAGACTGAATCTATCTTCCCGGCAGGAGCACAGCCCCTGCCTTACTCACTCCCCCCTGCTTGGCCCAGGCAGATAACTGGTTAGCCAATGACGGGTAAGACTCCTCAGGTGAGGAACAACCTAAGACAGGCACAGTCATGGAGAAACCATAGGAGATGGACTTAGGTATCTACAGAGAAGGGGCAGAAAGACCCTTATCTCTTGGCTTTGTCATAGTCTGAGTTTTCATTCTCTCTGTAAAAGTCTCCTAATCTCTCGGTTGCTTTGCTCTCCCCACCTGAGTCAGCCACTCAGCCTGGAATGATGCCAGAGGCAGCTGTGGCCTTGTACTGGAACAGATGGCTCTCAGGGGGAAATCTGGCCAGAGAAAGAATATACATTCTTTCCTTTGAGGCTTCCTCTACCCTGTTAGTATGAAACAGACACTTGTGCTAAAGCTGACCCTGACCAGAGACCATTGCCATATTTCTTCAGCTACTACCTGTAAATCATGTCAGTTTCTCATGACTGTAGCTTTTTAGATATTGGTTGATGAGCTTTATGTCCATGCTATATTTCTGTGTGTGAGCTGAACTCCATAAGGACAAAAGGAAGGAGGTGTTCAGGACCCTTCTCCTCTGAGAGTTTGGTCACCTTTCGTCCCCAAGCAGATCATGTCTTGGTAGATTTATTCTCATCCACAATGGTGGGGGAGTTTGTGGGTGGAGCCCCTAACATCTGGTGCCTGAACAGAGAAAGAGCCTGCAAACCATTATTGAGGATGGCACAACTGAGGGTATGGGATTCAGCACTTGTCACCACCCCCTCCCTGGGAACCCAGCAGCAGCACAGAGGGATTTGGTAAAGCCACTGGTGTGTTTCAGATGAGAGGAAGGTTTATCATTTGATAGACTGACCCTTGAGCAGTATTCCCCTCATTTCTCTCCCCTGCACCCTCTTTAGTCAGTAGGAGTCTTGCTCTCTCCCACGCATTTGCCACACCCCATGGGCACAGATCAAACATTCAAAAGCCACATGGCACTGGCCTCTAGAAGACACCTATGAAAGAATAAGGCAGGACGTGGACTGGGACAGAACACTAGGTTTTCCGCCAGTTGCAAGCAAAAGTGCATGCAATGAGGGGCACACTGTAAGAACACTCACATGCCCACCCCCATGGCACAACCCCCAACTAGGTGCAGGCTTGAGAGGAAGAGCAAAGACTTTCACTCAGTCAGTTTTGGAAAGCAGCAAGTACGGTTACAGGTTGTTACAGGATTCTTTGTAAGTATCTCAGCTTCTTACTGAGCACTGAAGAAAAGAGGCACTTCTCCCTCCAGCTCAAGATCTTGGGTGTCCTATGTGAGTTGGGCTTTGTGGAGGTGTCTGGAGTCAATCCCTAAGACAGGCAGTGGCCTCACAAGGAACTCCAATTATGGAATGTAATTTCATCTAGTGTGGGGAAATGCAGATGAGATTTGTCAGCCAGAACTCTGGCACACCCTGGCTGCTCTAGACCCTCGGGCACAATCAAGGCACAAAAGAGAGGCAGTGATCATAAAGGGGTAATAGACTTGGGAGCCCTCCTCACAAGCAGCATAGCCGTGACTCACTACATTCTTCTCACTAGCAAGAAGTAGGATCTGAGGGGGCAGACAGAGCCATAATGGGCTCAGTCCCTAACATGATTCACCCCTTCTCTATAGTCACAAAAACCTGCCAGTCCTCATGAGTTCCTGCACGCTCTCCAGTGCCTCTCCTTTCCAGGGCAGCTGTGAGTACTAGAAACATTTCTTTCCTTCTCCTTTCTTATTCTTTCTACCTGGCACAGGCCTCTCTGTGTTGCTCTGCAATCACTTTTCTAAATTAAGACCCCAGTTAGCAAAGTGTAACCATGTCTGAACTCAGCAGAGACTCAGGCAAACAAATATCATGATGACTTCCAAGCTTCTGATCATTTCATTGTCAAAAACCAGGCCAGTGAATGTTATCACGCAAAGTTTGGTGACATTTCTCATGGAAAAGTGGATGCTACTTTTTCTAGACAAATTCATAACATATCTAGAGGATGTGTGGATGGTGACATAGGTGGAAAGGATGTGTATTGACATGATGAAACATGTTCTTATGTTTCTGATGAGAATCACTGTGGCTGCTTTGGTGAAATATTGTACCATTAATACTTGGTACATTTGTACCTTTTACAAGTTGTACCACTTGTAAAAAGTGCCACATGTTTCTTTAAGGAGCAGCAGCTTCAGGAGCTGGCATGTGTGTCTATCCTTTAAGGGAATGAAACTCCTGTGACCCCTGTATATAACTCCTGTGTCTTCCTGGATATAACTTAAGGTGAATATTGTCCTGCATTGAAGAGATCCGTTATTGGAAGATTTCACATACACAGTCTGCTCACATACCATCCAATGCAGTTGACAGAGAAAGCAAGAAAAACATGGAAACATAAAATAAAATATCTTTAGTCCTGGCTGGTGTGGCTCAGTGGATTGAGCACCAGGCCTGGGAACCAAAGGGTTGCTAGTTTGATTCCTAGTCAGGGCACATGCCTGGGTTGGGGGCCAGGTCAGGTCCCCAGTTGGGGGCATGCAAGAGGCAATAACACATTGATGTCTCTCTCCTCCTTCCCTTCCCCTCTCTCTGAAAATAAATTACTTAATTAAACACACACGCAGAAACACACACACACAGTGCACTCTATGGCCTGTTTCTGTGCTGAAGTCTGTGTGACATGTTGCCCGGGCTTTGTGCCCTGGGCCCTAGAGGGCATCCTTGGCGGCTGGGCCTGGAGGGGGTAGGGAGGGCATCTCCCTGGGGGTGAAGAGCTGCCCACCCAAGCACTGGAGGCTGGCTTGGGGTGAGGGAAAGGGTCTGGGTGGAGACGGGGAGGGCGGGTCCAAAGGCTGAAGTGGGGAAGGCAAGAGCCCTGGGTGGCTTTCCCAACCAGCTAACACCAGACAAAGAATGTCTGGTGGTGGGAGGTGGGAGATGGCGGGGACTGAGTCCACACTCCTGGTGGTTTGAGGAGATGATGTTGGACCAGAGGGAGGGGCTTGGAAAGGGACCAGAGTAGCATGGGGAGCCTAGAGCATACAGGGAAGGAAGGTATAAGAGCCAGAAAAACCTCCCATAGTCTTTCTGAAGGCATCTTTTTGGTCACTGCCACTGAGGAAGGCTGGATGCACCCCCTTTCAAAGCAACAGCAACAGTTCCTCAGGGGCTTGGAATAGCCACGAGCTATGTACTCTTAGTAGGGAAAAGGCCTGAAAACTGGGGCGATCAGAGTGAGCTCTTTTTTTTAGAGGTGTATTCATTTCTTTCATTCATTCATTCATTTCTATCACTGCTGGGAGAGGAAAAGGGAGGGAGAAAGGGGAAGAGAAGCAGAGACCTGGCCAGCAAGGCTCCCAAGGGTCCCCACTGGCTATGAAGTCTGGGATCCTTCTGTTTGCAGGACCAGGTGCCCAGCCCTGAGAGCCACACCAGTGGGGACTGATCTGCACAGGTTGTCTGAGTGCACAATGGAAGAGTCCTAGAGGGTTGTGTGGGAAAGAAGCCCTTGTGGGGCAACAAAGTTATAAGGGGCATGGTTAGGGGACAGGTCAAGTGGACCTTTAAAGAAGAGTGGATGAAAGGGCCCCTCAGTTGTGAGGTGAAAAGAGGACCCTGCCCCACGTGACTGCAGGCATCTAAGTGTCAGGTTCCTAACACTCTCTCACCATTTTCCTCACTCCCTTTGGCTCAGCAGGTTCCAAGGACACCCTGCCTCTGTCCCCTCCATCAGGCACCCCAAGGCCCACAGACAAGCAGGCTCCCCCCAGCTTCTACTCTGTGCCTCCCTCCTGCTCACTTACTGCCAGTGGCCTCCTCCTCATCAGATCACCTGGGGTACAGGGGAGGCCACATTATGAGTTTCCTTGGGCCCTCCCCACAAAAGCTGAAAAGGTGGGACTCAGACGGGCCTTGGGGGAAAGTATCCCCAGGTTCATCAGGTCCTGACACTGAAAACAGAGCCCTTACTCTGGTCCCCCTGATTGGGGGACCTGAGCCCACAGGGGCACCCTCCCCAGGCTGGGAGCCTCTGTGCCTTTCCCACCCTCCCCCAGCCTGCAGTTTTGCAACCCTGTTCCTGACTTCCTGCCTCTTTGAAGCCTCCTCCCACCACTCCCTCCAGACTTCACCTCCCCTAGCAGTCCCCACTCCCTCCAGTTCCTTCCAGCATCTAGACTCCAGGTCCCCCAGTGGCAGCCAGTCTCCCTCTCAGCCTGGGTCTCCCTCCCACCTCTGTATCAGGGCCCCAGGGACTCTGCCCCTGAGGACACCCTGTGCTCAAAGGCAGGCCATCGAGCCTCTGGTGGTTCCTACCCCCACCTCTCCCTGGCTCCCTGTTCAGAAACAGGTTTTTACTTTCTTTTTCCTTCACCTGCCCCGCTCTTGCACTCTGTTTTTCTTTTAACACTTTCTGATGTCTTCCTCCCGCTCCTGCTCTCTGTTGCCAGTGTCCAGTCCAGCACAGAATGTCAAAATCAAGTGCAAAGTCCCAGCATAAGGACACTCCTCTGAGTCTGCAAGTGTGGTCTTCCTTCTACCCTGCACCTGCAGACCCCAGCCTTGCCTGGAAGGACAGCTCCCTCCTCCTCTTGCTCCCCTGCCTGGTTCTCCTGCTGCAGATACTTTCTCCTCCACAGCTGGACCCCCCACCCCAACCCCATTTCCACGTGGGCTCCCTCAGGCTCTCCTGAACACTGGTTGTCCTCCCTAGTCCTCTCAGTGCCCCACACCCTCCACCAGGAGGGACTCAGGCCTCAACCTCATTCCTTCCCACCCCCGACCCTTCCCTCTCAGCCCTCCTCCTACTGCCACCCCTCCCAGGACACAGGGCT